TTTTCTGAAATTGTTTTTGAGATCCCCTAACTCTTGCCGTCAGGTCATCCCAAACTAAAGCTTTGACTTCAAGCACATGTATATAAAAAATAACAATTTTATTTTTTTCTAATTTACATATACATATTGATGAATAGTTTCCTTCAATAGAGTCCTTCAGCCTTACCCTTAAAATAAGTGCTCCTCTTGGGCATTTTGAATGTCATGTGTGTGGGAATGTATCAGAAATATTAAAAGGACAGTTTAGTCACAAGAAGGCACCATAACAACTTTTTCTTATGACAGTTTTGTGAATGGTGAGTCACTGATTGGATCCCAGCCAATCAGCAGCGCCACTGCCTGGCAACACTCCACTCTTAATGTAAGTGAAATTAGAGAAGCCGGAAGCTGCCGGAGCAGCTGAGAACAGAGCTGGAGGCAACTGAAAGTATGAATGAGCCAGGGGCCTCAGGGCCCCATACCAACTTAATTTAGAAGAAGTTGTTTTTGTGCCTAGAGTGTTCCTTTAAGATCCAAATTATTTTTACAATATTTACAAGCTAAACATTGTCTGATGTTCTTCATCAATTACAACATGATTGACAAACATTCATGAAGAATTTGTGAATGTTTTTTTTTAATTCAGTACATATTTTTATTAAAACGGAGACTGCTCAACTGAGATTGCATTCTTTAATATAGTAAAGCAATAATTTGCACATGTCTGGGTTTTCCTAAGTGTAAAGGGCAATGGAGATGTTGACAGCCAATGTAAGCATGGATAATGGAAAGCATGTGAGTGGTGTCGGTGTGGTCCTCCCATCATTTCCAGCCTCCCTGCAGGATATTTTGTATAGGCCTGAATTCAGTAGTTCCGACACACTCAAAGCATTCTCAGTCCCACTAAGAAGCAATAAACTATATCTCCACATGCTTGAGTTGGCTGCTTCAATTAGTTTCTATGTGTATCCCTTGATGACATGGAGCAAAAACAAATCATTTCATCTCAGCAGACAGACTCCATCTATAGGTGTCCTCTCTATTGACACAAGGAGCTAAAATTAATTTGACGAAAAAAAATAAGCATAATAAAGGTTGCCCCTTCTCAGGCGAGTGTTCCCTACACCTTGTTTCTGGCTTATTTTCATTTTTGGAGATCACATTTAGGGTTGCTGTAACTCATCGCAGATTAATCTCGCCTGATATTTTTCTTCCGGAGAGACCATGTTGCCCGGCCTCATTTTGAAGTAATAAGCCAGTCTGATACACTAATGGTATAGTTCTAATATACAACAATTGGAAGAAACACTTGGCTGGTGGAATCATGACTTTAAGTAAGCAGGAATGACCCGGTAATCTAAAAATGTAAGGCTTGCCACTGCTGGTTGAGTCTCCTTGGCAGGCTGACTAACTAGGAGAATAGGGTATGCTGATAAACCATTTCATGAGAGGTCAATAAAATCAGGGGCTAAGAAGGAAGATGGAAGAAAGGATTCGTACCATTGAAGCTAAAGTTTTCCTTGTTTTCCCTCATGAGGAACCATTGGGAATCTACAAAACAGGTTCTTGTGGTCAGTGGTGTATTTTGGTTTTGTGCTGCCCTAGGCATGACAAAACTCGGGCACCCCCCCTCCAATCTAAATGTATCTTCCTTTTTAAAACCAACATGCTCTTTGCCTCACAGACACACGCCCAAACTGAGTCATTGGCACACACACTGTTTGACCAACACACACTTTTACTGAAACACACACACTCACTGACAGACATACACACTCACTCATTCACAGTTACACTCACTCAATGATACACACACACTCCCATTCACTGACAGACACACACTCATTAAAAGACGCACATACACTGACAGACATACACACTAACTAACAGACACACACAAAATGTATTATTATTTTTTTTAAATTTCACTCCACTCAGCCTCCCTACCTTTGGAAGTGCTGGCATGGAGTCTCTATTTCCCTGGGGCCCAGATGGGCTGCTGGGCTGGCTCCTGTTGTGCTGTGGTGCCAGGCAGCTGGTCAATGCAGGCTGCGAGGGAGCTCTGATTTTCCTGCTCAGCTCCCTCGCACGTCTTTTGATGCAGGGGCCAGTGTGACGTCATATCCCGGCTCCGCCATCACTGCGGGCGCGCAAAGAATCATCTAGTCATCCCTGATCAAACCTAAAATGTCATCATTGGGCCGGTGTCCTTTTTGTGGTTTTATAGCCAAAGTAAAAAACAACGTGAGAGTCACTTAAATAGTGATAGTTAAATACAATACAGTTTCAGCTGCTTACATTCCCCACACCGTGCAAAATGCAATCAATGTGTCGCACTAGAAACATCATAAAGTGCATGAAATTCCAAATATCCGAATGTGCCATTTCTAATGCATAATTTTTTTTCTTATACTTATATATAGTATTGCTGTCATATCTTATAAAATAAAAGATCCCTCTCTACATATCTCAAAACAGAATGCACGTGTCTTGGGTGATTATATATTTCCTACCTGTTCTATGTTATGTTTTATATATTGTGTATTAATATTGTTTTTGTATTTTATTGTACCATAATGGATCAATGCAATGTTTTGTGGGCCCAGGACTTGAAAACGAGATAAATCTCAATGTATCTTTACTGGTAAAATATTTTATAAATAAATAAATAATATAATATAATATATATCTCCATACAGCATACTGTTAATCATAGAAGACATTTAGTGTGTGTGTCCTGTATTTAGTGCACTCACATATACCAGAGCCTTTTCGCCTGGCTCTGGGTAAAACAGCTTCCATGAAGAGGGGTAAATACCCCACACGATTCCCAACTCTTTCCTTGCATAGGCAATACAGCATTAGAATAAAAGGAGAACCAACGGGGCCCAATAGTGTTACACCATATATTGCATATACAAAAAGCTAAAATCAAATGCAATACACGTAGCTATTGTAATCAGACCTCCGAGCTTGTAATTCCAGTCATGTGATTTAAACACGAACCCTACTCCAGCGTGACGCATTTCGCCTGATCATGTGGGCTTCATTTTGATGTTCCTGTTCATTTGTTCCTGACCTGGATGTCCCTGACCTGGAGCTTTGACCAGTCCTATATTCCTACGGTACCAAACACAGCTTGCTGTGACTTTGTATAGCTAACCCTGGCCTATATTGTTTCAGTATTTACCTCTGATACTTCTTATTCCTGCCTGAGCATTCAGACCGCCCACTCTACGGTCCAGTAACATGCCAGTGTGTCTTTTCGGCCTGCTTCTTTCGAAGGTTGCTGACTGATATCTGTCTGAGTATCCTCTTGTTTCTGGAGAGGTTTATTGGGCCGGCAGAGGAGCCATTAGGCAACAGCTTTAATCTCGGACTTCTCTTGTCTTCAAAAATGGTGATGTAAGCACAGCACACACCAGTGTGGGAGTGTTGTAGACGGTTTGTGTAAATTTGTGTCTGTTTTGGTAAAATGTATTAAATCGTGTTTTCAACCTAAGTTCGCATCTTTTGTGCCTTACCATTATTTTTTAATGCACGTCATTCTTTTTTTGGTGAGGCAACAGAAAATTCAGCCTCACTTCTCTTTTTTCTATCACTCTAAAATTGGCAGACTTTTCTCAAGTGGATATTTCTGGAAAAAATGAAGGAATTTAGGCAGAGAAAAGCCAACAGATTTAGACTAATTTTAGAATAATAAACGGCAACCGATTAGAGAAAAAGAAATTTTTGCCAGGCAATGAGATGTGGGGATAATAATAGATCGAGAAGCTGGTCATGGAGGTCAGGAACGCAAGAGGTACACAGTGATCGAATCAATTAAAGGGAGCGCCCCAACGACATAAGGTATAATAAATGAACAGCGCAATAAGTGAGTGACAGGGAAGTGACAGAGGGTATATATTATAGAAGGGGAATACCTGTTGGAGCAATTAATGAAGAATTAAATGAGCATTAAAGGAACGGCTGCATTAAGCAAATGGATAAGGGAGACAGGGAGTAACATACAGGATGTCACTTAAAAGGAGGATATAAGCACACACTTTACACTTTATTCAATAAACTCCGAGCGCAGTCAGGATTAAAAGGAATTGGTTACAATAGCCGAACTTTAATCAAAATCAACATTTTTTATCTATTAAAGACAAATGTTGACATTCGGTTATTACAAAGGAATGATCACATCTCGTCATGCTCCATCCAGTGATTGCTTTAAAATCCATCATTCAGATTTGGAAATTGTTTGAAAATACTAATTGGAATTTATGACTTTAACATTTATAATGCTGCATTTTTTTCATCTAAATAGTAGTTTAGTAGCACAATCCCAAAATACAATATTGGGTTCAAATCCCTCTGTCCCTCTTCTCTATGAGCTCCATATTGTTGGTGCTCCACAGCAATACTACTCCCAGTAATGTGTCTGAGTGTATAACAGAGCTCCACAGCAATAATACTCCCAGTAATGTGTCTGAGTGTATAACAGAGCTCCACAGCAATAATACTCCCAGTAATGTGTCTGAGTGTATAACAGAGCTCCACAGCAATAATACTCCCAGTAATGTGTCTGAGTGTATAACAGAGCTCCACAGCAATAATACTCCCAGTAATGTGTCTGAGTGTATAACAGAGCTCCACAGCAATAATACTCCCAGTAATGTGTCTGAGTGTATAACAGAGCTCCACAGCAATAATACTCCCAGTAATGTGTCTGAGTGTATAACAGAGCTCCACAGCAATAATACTCCCAGTAATGTGCCTGAGTGTATAACAGAGCTCCACAGCAATAATACTCCCAGTAATGTGTCTGAGTGTATAACAGAGCTCCACAGCAATAATACTCCCAGTAATGTGTCTGAGTGTATAACAGAGCTCCACAGCAATAATACTCCCAGTAATGTGTCTGAGTGTATAACAGAGCCCCACAGCAATAATACTCCCAGTAATGTGTCTGAGTGTAAAACTGAGCCCCACAGCAATAATATTCACAGTAATGTGTCTGAGTGTATAACAGAGCTCCACAGCAATAATACTCACAGTAATGTGTCTGAGTGAATAACAGAGCTCCACAGCAATAATACTCCCAGTAATGTGTCTGAGTGTATAACAGAGCCCCACAGCAATAATACTCCCAGTAATGTGTCTGAGTGTATAACAGGGCCCCACAGCAATAATACTCCCAGTAATGTGTCTGAGTGTATAACAGAGCCCCACAGCAATAATACTCCCAGTAATGTGTCTGAGTGTATAACAGAGCTCCACAGCAATAATACTCCCAGTAATGTGTCTGAGTGTATAACAGAGCTCCACAGCAATAATACTCCCAGTAATGTGTCTGTGTATAACAGAGCTCCACAGCAATAATACTCCCAGTAATGTGACAGAGTGTATAACAGAGCTCCACGGCAATAATACTCCCAGTAATGTGTCTGAGTGTATAACAGAGCCCCACAGTAATAATACTCCCAGTAATGTGTCTGAATGTATAACAGAGCCCCACAGCAATAATACTCCCAGTAATGTGTCTGTGTGTATAACAGAGCTCCACGGCAATAATACTCCCAGTAATGTGTCTGAGTGTATAACAGAGCCCCACAGTAATAATACTCCCAGTAATGTGTCTGAATGTATAACAGAGCCCCACAGCAATAATACTCCCAGTAATGTGTCTGAATGTATAACAGAGCCCCACAGCAATAATACTCCCAGTAATGTGTCTGAGTGTATAACAGAACTCCACAGCAATAATACTCCCAGTAATGTGTCTGAGTGTATAACAGAACTCCGCAGCAATAATACTCCCAGTAATGTGTCTGAGTGTATAACAGAGCTCCACAGCAATAATACTCCCAGTAATGTGTCGGAGTGTATAACAGATTTACACAGCAATAATACTCCCAGTAATGTGTCTGAGTGTATAACAGAACTCCACAGCAATAATACTCCCAGTAATGTGACAGTGTATAACAGAGCCCCACAGCAATAATACTCCCAGTAATGTGTCTGAGTGTGTAACAGAGCTCCACAGCAATAATACTCCCAGTAATGTGTCTGAGTGTATAACAGAGCTCCACAGCAATAATACTCCCAGTAATATGTCTGAGTGTATAACAGAGCTCCACAGCAATAATACTCCCAGTAATGTGTCTGAGTGTATAACAGAGCTCCACAGCAATAATACTCCCAGTAATGTGAGTGTATAACAGAGCTCCACAGCAATAATACTCCCAGTAATGTGTCTGAGTGTATAGCAGAGCTCCACGGCAATAATACTCCCAGTAATGTGTCTGAATGTATAACAGAACTCCACACTAATAATACTGCCAGTAATGTGAGTGTATAACAGAGCTCCACAGTAATAATAATCTCAGTAATGTGTCTGAGTGTATAACAGAGCTCCACAGCAATAATACTCCCAGTAATGTGTCTGAGTGTATAACAGAGCTCCACAGCAATAATACTCCCAGTAATGTGTCTGAGTGTATAACAGAGCTCCACGGCAATAATACTCCCAGCAATGTGTCTGAGTGTATAACAGAGCTCCACAGCAATAATACTCCCAGTAATGTGTCTGAGTGTATAACAGAGCTCCCTAGCAATAATACTCCCAATAATGTGTCTGAGTGTATAACAGAGCTCCACAGCAATAATACTCCCAGTAATGTGTCTGAGTGTATAACAGAGCTCCACAGCAATAATACTCCCAGTAATATGTCTGAGTGTATAACAGAGCTCCACAGCAATAATACTCCCAGTAATGTGTCTGAGTGTATAACAGAGCTCCACAGAAATAATACTCCCAGTAATATGTCTGAGTGTATACCAGAGCTCCACAGCAATAATACTCCCAGTAATGTGTCTGAGTGTATAACAGAGCTCCACAGCAATAATACTCCCAGTAATGTGTCTGAGTGTATAACAGAGCTCCACAGCAATAATACTCCCAGTAATGTGTCTGAGTGTATAACAGAGCTCCACAGCAATAATGCTCCCAGTAGTGTGTCTGAGTGTATAACAGAGCTCCACAGCAATAACACTCCCAGTAATGTGTCTGAGTGTATAACAGAGCTCCACAGCAATAATACTCCCAGTAATGTGTCTGAGTGTATAACAGAGCTCCACAGCAATAATACTCCCAGTAATGTCTGAATGTATAACAGAGCTCCACAGCAATAATACTCCCAGTAATGTGTCTGAGTGTATAACAGAGCTCCACAGCAATAATACTCCCAGTAATGTGTCTGAGTGTATAACAGAGCCCCACAGCAATAGTACTCCCAGTAATGTGTCTGAGTGTATCACAGAGCTCCGCAACAATAATACTCCCAGTAATGTGTCTGAGTGTATAGCAGAGCCCCACAGCAATAATACTCCCAGTAATGTGTCTTGAGTGTATAACAGAGCTCCACAGCAATAATACTCCCAGTAATGTGTCTGAGTGTATAACAGAGCTCCACAGCAATAATACTCCCAGTAATGTGTCTGAGTGTATAACAGAGCTCCACAGCAATAATAATTCCAGTAATGTGTCTGAGTGTATAACAGAGCTCCACAACAATAATACTCCCAGTAATGTGTTAAAAGAGAACTCCACATCAATAATACTCTCAGTAATGTGTCTGAGTGTATACCAGAGCTACACAGCTATAATACTCCCAGTAATGTGTCTGAGTGTATAACAGAGCTCCACAGCAATAATAATTCCAGTAATGTGTCTGAGTGTATAACAGAGCTCCACAGCAATAATACTCCCAGAAATGTGTCTGAGTGTATAACAGAGCTCCACAGCAATAATACTCCCTGTAATGTAATAACAGAGCTCCACAGCAATAATACCCCCAGTAATCTGTCTGAGTATATAACAGAGCTCCACAGCAATAATACCCCAGTGTTCGAGGTATAACAGAGCTCCACAGCAATAATACTCCCAGTAATGTGTCTGAGTGTATAACAGAGCTCCACAGTAATAATACTCCCAGTAATGTGTCTGAGTGTATAACAGAGCTCCACAGTAATAATACTCCCAGTAATGTGTCTGAGTGTATAACAGAGCTCCACGGCAATAATACTCCCAGTAATAGTAAGTCAACTCATTTTTTTAGAACAGTCTTGTCCCTGACAACTCTTACGCTCACAGTCTAAGATTAGAGCGTCCCTCTTTGTCCATTTGAGATGTTGGGAGGTGTGTGATTGTGATGTCATTTTGTAAATGTTTAATATGTATTTAATAATAGATGGGACATGAAAAGGACAGAGCCTGAGACGACTGCTGTACTTAATACATTTTAAAGTGTGCAATCTGTAATGCACATTGATGGTTAATGTTATGCAGATCAATTGCAAAATTAAAGAGCAGCCATTGCTGGTCACTGTACATCCCGTGTCCAATGTTTACAGCTAAATGGCTGGATCATAGTTATTGTAGTCCTCTACAACTACAATTCCAAATGTTTGCCATCACTATCCCAGTTATATGGCCTCGTAAAATGGTCTACAAATGTTACTACTCTGGAGGTCAGGTCTAGTGCGTGTTTGGAAGTGACAACTCAGAGCCAAACGAACTAGAGGCCAACGATGCTGTAGCTGAGTCCAACTGCTTTACTCAGCTTTGGCCACTGGCATCCAGCTGTCTCTCTGATTCAGCTGTCACAAACAATGCGATAACTGCAAGCAGTTAGAATGACTGGATGAAATATACCTGGCAGCCCTTATCTGAGTCACCGGAGAGCATTTCAACATTTATCACACAACGTTTTGGTTTCTGTTTGTTTGGTTTTATATTGGATCTCCAGATTGATGCCTTATACCTCCCATGTGCCCCTCTTTAAGTCAAACATTCTCCCTATGTGACCAAAATCCTCTGTCCTTATTTTTAGGAGCTCAAAATCTTTTAATTCTTTTTAGTATATGACCATGTAACATAACTACACAGGAATAACATTTACATAATGTGACTTTCTATCATAATTAAATATTATTTAACTATACTAATTAATTTGGCTTGTTCCTAATGATGTATTACATAAATGGTCATTAGTTGCCAACAATGATCTATTAAAGCAACGTCCCTGGTACCCTGCCTGCTACATCCCCTACAGGGAACTTTGGAATATTTTAAATGTAGAGAGATATCTCCCTCCCATTGGATACAATAAGAACTCGCTACATTGTATTATCAGATTGTTTCATTGGAAATGCTTACAGTAGGGTTTGGTGCAAAATCCCCTTAAAGCAGATTTGTCTCCTTTTTTAAAATTACTATTATTGGTATTTATATAGCGCCAGCATATTCCGTAGTTCTTTACAATATTATCAGAGGGGGAGATTTAGCAATAAATAAACTGTTACAAAAACCTACAGGAACAATAGGTTGAAGAGGATTCTGCTCAAACGAGCCCTTAAGGTTGGAATATTTGAACCCCTCTCCCACCAACTTATCCGATTTTCTTTTTTTTCGAAATAAATTTTTTCCCCCCCAAAAGTTATGCCTTAGGAAAAGTAGGGACTGCTATTATGTATAACCTGAAGGCTGACAAATTGGCAAAGCCTTGAGCTTTCTCCAAGCTCCACAGCATTGGCCAACTTTGTCATCGGCTGTACCCACCTCGTTCCAGCAATCGCAAGATTTAATACAGGTCCAGTGAAGGCCTTGGAAGTGCGCATAATTTAACTCCCTCGCCCTAGAAAGGGCAGAGTGTGGAATTCCTTATACCGCCATCTTAGAAACACAAAGGTTGTAACGCCATGATCCAGCCGGACTGGCACAACATCTAAAAGGGAATGGTGCACTGGTCGCGGCGTCTGAAATGGGTGAATGGAAGTTGGGGGAGGGTATAGGTTTTACCCATAAAAAATGACAGATGTGCTTTAATGCAAATATAAGAGTGTTGCGCCTCTGCATTCTCTGGTGATGCAAACATGATCCATTCTACACATGCCATAACATACTAACACCATGCTTGTTTCTAGATTTGATAAGCAGTAACTCAATGACGCCATCTACAGGAAATATTATAAATCTACTTATCAAGTCTTTTTTATTCTTATGATAACGAAGAAATGATGGTTCCCTGTCCTTTTTAGATGAAGATAGTGAGTGGTTTGAAATCGTATTCTTTCGGAGGAACAGGTGACACTAAATGATACGAACATATGACAAATAATAAAATCTCGGGTGATTTTTGTTTCACCCTGTTGGTGGTGTGTGCTTAATTTACCACTTTAAACAGGGGTTGACTACCTTTTAGTTTGTTTAATCAGGGATCTAGCCAGGCCCGCTTTAAGCTAATATCATGTGAGACCGCTT